ATTACTATGTAAGTGTCCCTACCTGTTTATCACTTAGTCTAGATAAGATCTTGATGTGACTCTGGATGTACCTTGTTTTTCCAGATTTAGGGATAGCAGTTTGCCTTGCAATACCAATTTTCTGATGAGTCCAAGAAAAGTCATGGTTTTCAGTTTTCCAGATATTTCTTATTACGAGGACAGTGGGTAATGACTTCTGATCTCTTTACATGCTGAAGCTAAAACTGGAAGTCCAAAGTTTACTCTGATCTTGTCTTGGGTTGGATTCATGGCATGTTTTCATCTCATTTTTCTCTTGTTTTGGTGGAAGGAATCTTCCAATAGCTTCCTGAGGTTTGTGGACAGTAATATGTTGACACCTTGAATGACTGACACCATCTTCATCCCACTTTCACACTTAGTTGATGGTTTGGTTTGGTATAGGATTCTGTCTTGGAAATAATTTTCCTCCAGATTTTTGAAGACCTTGCTGCATTGTAATCTAACATTCAGGGCTGCTCTTGAGAATCAAAATTATTCTGATTCCTGAGCCTTTGTATGAGACCTATTTTTATCTCTCTGATAGTTTGTAGGACCTTCTTTTTGTCCTCGGTGTTCTTAAATTTCATGATAATACACTTGGGATGAGTTTATTTTCATTTATCATACTGGGTGTTCAGTGGGCCCATTAGGCTGGAAACTCTGTCTTTTGGTTCTCAGAATTTTCTTAAATTATATCTTGATGTTTTCCTTTGCTCTGTTTTCCTTCTCTCCTTCTCTGGAACTCTATTTTCAAATGCTACGCTTGTTAAATAAATCCTTCAGTTTTTGCTGTATTTCCTCTATTTTATCTTACAATCTTTCTAATGAGCTTTCTGTTCCTGATATTAGGTTTGAAATGGTCAATGCTGTTTTTATTCTCTACATATTCCTTTAAAAAATATCCTTTTTAATGAATGCCATATCTTTTTATCTGCCTGAGAATGTTAATAATAGTTTTTCTGATCTTGATGTTTTCTTGTCTGTGTGTTATCTCTGTTCCCCCCAGATTGCCCCTTTTCTCCCTGTTTTGGTCTCTGTGTCTCATATCAGAGGCTTCCTTCCGATGTCTAAGAATCTTGTTACCTGGCTCATATTTAGGAGTGGGACTTAGGAAGCTGACTGGAAGCACTGAAGTGAGATTGTCAGCTGTGGGCTTCATTGTAGAGGAATATGGCTGGGGCTGCTTTGTTGCCGAATCACTAGCTAATCAGCATCTTTAGGTCTTTCTTTCTGGGCTAGTTTGAGTTAATCCTCTTCCTGAAGGTGACAGGTTAGACATTCTGGAAGCTGAATGAGAGAAGGGGGTTGGGAGTGGGGGTGCACAGTCTTAGTTTTCCGCACACAAACCTTCATTTCTGTGTGGCGCTCTGGTCCTTGCTGTGCCTGGTACCTCCCCATCTAGGCCCCTCCTCTGTGCTCCTTGCTCCGGAGAATCACTTTTACTCCTCTGTTGGGGTGGGAGAAGGGATTTGCAGACCCAGCTGCTTCTGAAACAGACGTTAGCTCTCCTTTCCCCTTCTTGAAGTATTTGGGGCCACCAGATTCTGAGCCCTTTGTGGATTCTGTTGGGTGGATCTGGTGGTGCCTTGGCAGGACTGCCCTTGGACCTGGGATGGGAGTGCTGGAGAGTCCTGAGTCCCCTCTCCCAGCTGTGCCCTGTCCCCAGGATTAAGGGGGCATGCCCACCCAGAGCTTGTACCTCCTTCTCTCTTTGGGGGAGGAAGGGAACCTTGAAATTCCGTGTCCAAATGACTCCCACCCTGGTTCTAGGGCCTGCGTAGGCTTCCTCCCCCCGAGCTTCCTGTGGGGTGGGGGGACTATGCTGCCAACATGTGTATACCTGGGCTGAGGTGTGGCCAAGGGGTGGCCATCTGTGGGAGGTATAGATGGAGCAATGATGGCAAAGCCCCTCAGATATGGCAGAGCTGGGAGTGGGAAGGAAGGGAAGGGCCAGGGGCAGGGGCTCTTCTGGAGCAGAGTGCAGGGATGTCTGAGGACTCGACCCCAAATTTGAGCATGAATGCTAAGGTTTGAATTGTGTCCTCTGGTAGAGGTATATGGAAGGCCTAACCCCCAGTGCCTCAGATAGTGACCTTATTAGGAAATAGAGTCCTTGTAGATGTCATTAGTAAACAGAAGGTTGTATTGGAGTATAGTGAGCCCCTAATCTGATAGAGTTGGTGTCTCTGTAAGATGAAGGCCACGTAAAGACAGAGACATGGGGAGATTGTCTTGTGAGGGCAGAGGCATGATGGGTTAACAAGCCAAGGGACACAGGACTGCTGGCCGTCACCAGAAGCTGGGAGAGAGGCATGCGACAGACTCTCCCTCAAAGCCTCAAAGGAACCAAGCCTGTCCACAGCTTGACTGTAGACCACCAGCCTCCGGAACCTTGAGAGAATACATTTCTGCTGTTTGAAGCTGCCCAGGGTATGGTTGCTTGTTCAGCAGCCCTAGGAAGCTACAGCACCATCCTTTCATACCAATATGAGGGCATGTTTGTCACGAGAGAGGAACAATGATATTTTTTTCATCCTTTCAATGAACCTTGTTATCTTGGTTTAGCTTTTATTTAGAGTTTGGGCATGTGGCCTCCTGCTCAGGCCTTATAAATGTCAAGGGTGAGCTGGTTTCTTGGCCTTCCCCAGTTCTGGCTTGGGAATCAGCTTAATCCTAGTTGCCCAGCCAGTGACCACCGCCCTGTGCTTCCAGCTGCTAGCGTTTCACCCTGTGCTCCCCCTCGCTGCTCTGCCCCTTGCAGGTCTACACTGGTGCTAGCCAGCAGAGCATTCTTTCGTGATGGGAATATTCCTTATCTCTGCGTTCAGTGTGATGGCCACTAGCCATATGGGGCAGCTGAGCTCTGGAGATGCACTGGTGCAACCTACAAACTGAATTTTACAATTTATTTAATAAAAATGTAAATTTAGCACATGAAGCTAGTAGCTAGCCTATTGGGTAGTACAGATCAATACTGTAAAACAAAACAAACCACAGATATTTTTGTTTTCTAGGTAGTCAGGGAGGTAATACAAGTAGAGGGATGCACTCCCTCCGCTCTCTCTACTGTCTCTGGCAAGACTTAAATTTTAATTCAAAGACATCTTAGAACTAAACCAGCAATAGTGAGTTAAAAGAAAGATCCTGTTCCCGCATAACGGATGAGCCCCATTAGATGGTTGTGTGTAGGGGTGGCTTTTGCAGTAGTCTCTCCCGTCACAGGTGAGGGCCTGGGCAGGTAGGAGGCTGCCTTGCCTGTGGCCATGGATGGACTTGGGGTGTCTGCCACCAGGCCTGCTCAGCCCCCCATCCTCATTACTCATGGGTCCTTGGCCAGCTGGCCTCATCTCTGGCGGTTTGGCCTTCTGTCGGGGATGCTCAGAGCTTCCCGAGACTGCACCAGACACGCATTCATGATCCCAGACATTCAACTTGGCCTCCCAGGCCCTGCGGCCACTCGGCTGCTGGAAAACAGATTGGGTTGGTAAAAATATGTGTGTGTGTTCTCACAGAACCTGAGAAAATCACACCTCCACTTTGACAAAAAAATCTGTTTGTGCCACTCCAATAATCACCTCCTAACTCGTGGGATAGCAGGCCATATGTCTGCGAAGTGGCTAGCAGTGGAGATGGTCTACCTCTGTCGCGCCTTACAAAGTACCGTTTCCTGGCTGATCAATCCTAAAATAAAAAAGAGCCAAGCCACAGTCTTCTGCCTCCAAACGATGTTCCCAGTCCAAACTCCTCCTGGAGGTGGAGTGTGTGGGGCTCGGACACTGGCCTCACAGGCTCACGACACGCGGCATGCGTGTGCTCAGGGGTGAGAGCAGCCAGCTGGACTCTTAAGTTAGAAGTTCAGTGCGGGGTGAGGACAGATGCCAAGACCCAGAGAGTGCAAGCTGGGAAGGTTCTGTCTGTAGAAACTTATGCTGGGGTTTGATTAAGTGGGGGACCTCCCGCCTCTCCGGGGAGACTGGGGCGTTCTGACCCCAGAGGCTTCTTGTCCTCAGCCCATCTTACGTTGTGATGCTCCGCCAGGCTCCAATGAAAGGTAGAAGGTGAGTGATCTGCAAGTGCTCCCCTGGCCTCCTGCCTCCACTCCTGGCCCTCAAGGCCTTTTTTGAGCATGTGGCTCAAGAATTCAGCCCTGGAGGTGGTCATTGTCCTGTGGACGCTAGTGCACTCAACAGAAAAGTGACAACCCCTAGGAAGGGTTTCTTTTCTCCCTGAACTCTCCCCAGAGTCAGCTAGAGCTATTCTAGAATGACGAGCATCTTTCCCACAACACTGCGAAACAAGCTGGTCTCTTGACAACTGACTTTGTGACTTTAGGTTGATCTCAAATGTTACATATCTTGATTTTCTCACTTGTGACTCAGAAGGGCAGCGTGAGAAGAAATCAAGTTGAGAGATGCAAAAACACTGTTAAGAAGTTTCTGATTTCTGTGCCCATTTCAGTTTTATGTTACAAAATCTACTTGTTACATAAACAGTTAACACTATGTGTTGTACTCAGGATGACTCATGCTCATTCCCTTATTTAAATAAAAATTATTGACATCCTTTGTGGAGTGAATTTACTGATTATTTGGAAGATCTGGGAAGTGGAGTTTACCTCGTGCTTTTTTCATTATTCATCAGGTGAGAATTTATAAAAGAGTGTTAGGGACTGAAGGTGCCCCCCACCCAAATTACAGGTTGAAGTCCTGATTCCCAGCATGCTGCTTTTGGAGATGGGACCTTTGGGAAGAAATTAGATGGTGAGGGTGGTGCCCCCACGAATGGGATTAATGCCCTTATAAAAAGAGACATGAGAGAGAGAGATCTCTCTCTCCACCATGGGAGGGCCCATCCGTAAGCCAGGAGCAGGGCTGCACCGGAGCCCAGCCTGCTGGTGCCTTGATCTCTTCCAGCCCCCAGGACTGTGAGAACCAAACGTGTCTTGTTTAAGCTGCCTGGTCTGTCGTATTCTGTTACAGCCACCTGGACTGACTGAGACGAGGAGCGCGGTCTGTCATTGCCATGGTCTTCGCGGGTCTGGCCGACTGCATGAGACGTACACGCTTGTCCACTCCTGGGGGCCTGCCAGAACACTTCAGCCCCCAGGAGGGGCCTGTGGAGACCTAGGAGCCAGCCCTCACTGCCATTCCCAGCGCTCCTGATCGCCCAGGGAACACAGGGGCTCAGTAAGAGGGCGCTATGACGGACGGCAGCCGCGCTCCGGCTCGGAAGGAAGGCCAGGCGCCAGGAGAGAGAGACACCTTTCATTCCCGAAACCGGAAGTGACATTGGCATGCAAATATTAGGCCTGGACCTCCAGGGCCCTGCCTCGGATGTGCCCTTCCCGATCTCCTCCAGCTGGAAGCCATCTGCCCTGGAACTCCCTCGGCGCGTTATCTGCTCCTCTGAGCACGCACTGCTGTCTGCCTTCGGAGAGTTATGAGTTATTTCTGAACCCGCCTTATCTCGCTCGCAGGACCGCTAGCGCCTCCAGGGTCAGGGCTTTTGTAAACACCTGTCATCTTCCTGGGAGCCCACCGCGGGCCTTGCCCAGGGGTTAGCCCTCAGCTGCATCCAGTCCTGCGTTGCGTCAGACGCCGTTCCCGGGTTGCGGGGCTGAGCGGTTTCTCCGCACCTGGAGGCTGGCGCGCTGGCACCTCGGGAACGCAAAGCCCCAGAGGAAGCAGCCCTGGGAAGGCCGAGGGGTGCGTTGGCTCCTTCCCCGCCCGGCTGCGTTCCGTGCCCGTGAGCTCTGTGTCTTCCCACCTAGTGTCGCCTCTCTCTGCTGTGTCCTCCCTGCCTCCCCTTCTGCTGGGCTGATTCCCCAGCCAGGGGCCATTTTCCATCTCTCCCTGTTGGGAGCTCACCTCTCTGGTCCCTGCAGCTCCCCCAGCCTCCTCCTTCCCTTCCTAGGCTGGCCCTCAGCCCCGAGAAGCCCCCTCTGCCTCACTCCAAGGCTGCAGGGACCTGGCGCCCCTCCTGTCCTCCTCTGGTGGCCTACATCTAAGTTTTGGGGGTGTCCTGCTCCTTGCAGGATTGGGTGTGCACTTCCTGGTCTTCATTTGACTCACCCTGTCTGCAGTTCACCCCACTGAGGACTGTCTTCTGGAAGTTTCTGCCCCCTTGGCATCCTCATCAAGTCGCCTTGTTCTTGTGGGGCAGCATCTCTACCAGCTCCTTTTCCTCATCTTTAACTGTTAGTGTTCATCGGCCTCCACACACACACACACCCCTTCCTCCGCCTCCGCCCTAACGGCCCCATCCCGCCCGGACCCTCCTGCACAGCCCTCCCCACCGGGGGAGCGCCCTCAGGCAGCAGGACCCCCCTCCGCCTCTGCGGACCACTCCGCCGAGGCTGGAGTCTTGCACTGGTGCTCCTCCCACGTCTTGGGATTCAGCCCACTCCGTCTCAGCGTCTGCCGGGGGGTCTTTCACGGCTGGCCCCCTCCTGCAGCAACAAAGTCCCTGGCAGATGCCCAAAGGCGAGATGTTTGTCCGAGCCTCCCGCTCTGCCTACAGGCGTCTTCTCTTCCAGAACGAACCTCTGGTCTGCATGCCGGAGCCTGGCACAGGGCACCTCAGGGGGCCGGTCTTCACATACCTCACCGCAGTTGAGACAGAGGCTCTGTCTTCTGGGCTCCCACAGCCCTTCAAAACCTTTTATTAAAAACACCTGTTGCATTTTCCGGTAATTGCTCGTTAACCAGCTAGACTGAAAATAACAGGGCTTCTGTGTGCCAGTCGCTGTGCTGAGAGCTTTTCACGTTTCAGCTCATTGTATCCTCACAACTGCCCTGGGAGAAAGAGATTGCTGTGGTGTCTATTTAAGAACATAATGGGGAAACCGAGACACAGAGAGGTTAAGGAACTTGCCTAAGCTCACGCAGCCAGCAAGCGTGGAAGGCAGGTTGGGTCCAAGTCCATACGCGTGGCCTCTGTTACCTACAGCAAGCGCTCTGAAGTGTCTTCCTCACCCGTCTCTTCACCCACAGGATGCTGGTCACTGGAAGGCCTTCGGTGCACATGTGAGTGAGCCCCACTTTCCTCCTTTCTTCAACTTCCTCCATCCACATTTCCCTTTGAAATCTCCCTACTCTTTACTTTCTTGGTCCATTTCTGTAACTTAAGTGAGAAAACAAATTCAGGACACTCTTGCTACCCTTTGTTCAAACAAATAAATTTGATCTTATCCATGGAAGTGAGCACCACCCACCTTAAACAGTCACTCCCGGGACGTCACCACCCCCTGGCACATTTCGGATGGCTTCTTTAGGAGCCAGCTGTAGGGACAGCCCGCCAGTAGTCTAGGAAGCATTCCGTGACTTTGTATCACCCCCTGCACAGCACCCGCAACACCCCAGGGATTCTCCCAGGTGTGTGTTTACCAACTGGAAGTGCTTTGCCTGGCATGTCATCAGTGTCAGTAAGTATGCAGAAATGATGTACTTAAAAATTCCTGTTCCCTAAATGGCTGTCACGGCCTGGGAGGCAGAGGGGGACACTGCATTTGGGCTGCTGAGCAAAGCACCACAGACTAGGTGGTTTAAAGAAGAGGAATTCATTTCTCCAAGCTCGGGAAGCCCAAGGCTGAGACCAAGGTGTCGGCAGGCCTGGGTTCCTGGGGTCCTGCTCTGCAGTGTGTAGATGGCTGTCTTCTCCCTCTGTGCGTGTCACTGTCTCAATCTCCCCTTCTTATAAGGACCAGTCGTGTTAGAACTGGACCCAGCCAGTGACCTCATTGTACCGTAATTACCTTTTTAAGGGCCCTATTTCTAAATACAGTGACATTTTGAGCCACTGGGGGTTAAGACTTCAACAGATGACTTCTGAAGGAGACAGTTCAGCTCCTAAGAGGCACTGACCGAAGCTTCGGCTGTCCTCAGCTTTGCAACAAAGGACTCCGTGACCTTGGACACGACCCACCTTGATGGGTTTCAGTTTCCTTATCACCAACATGGGTAGTCAGACTAGACCACCCTGGGTATTTACAACTTCAAAGCTTTATGATAACCTATAAAAACATCATGTTAGAATGAAATACGGCTTCTGGGACACAGGCAATACAAGGGCTTTTGGCATTCAAGGCTGCCGACCCACAGTGTGGTCTGAAGTTTCTCAGTATTTGACAACAGGCTTTATTATCTCTTCAACTTGGTCAGGCCAACCATTTCTCCTGGGTTCTGAAGGTAACAGCAACACTGTTTTCCTGGAAACATCCTCAGTGAAATATTATTTGATTTTTTTCAGTCTTGAGTTCCCAGGTGGAAGCTCCTACACATGCCCTAAAGGAAGGAAGGTGTCTGGTGCTTTCTAAGCGGACCAAGGGCACTTTCTTTTCCAGGTAATTCTGTCTATACAGGCTGTTAAGGGGCAAAGCCAGACTAAACAACTAGGGGATGAGAAAGAGTCAGCAAGGACATCACAACCCTTCTCATTGTGGGCATGGAGGCAGACCCACTCAGTTTCAGGACAGCTCTGCTCAGCTTGGAGCCCACCTGCAACTTTCAGGATCCCTAGAGTCAGCTGGGGTGGGCAGCACTTTAAAAACAAGCCTGGAATAGCTTGCAGCCCATTCTTACCTGAGCAGTGACGCGGCAGACTCTCGCACCCCAGCGTCTGTCCTGCTTCACGGGGCAGTGGTTGTGCTGCCCCAGCCAGTCCCTCTAACTGGGCAGTGGGGACGGTGGGGAAGAGGAGCTGGTGCTGGGTGGTCTCTGAGCAGGACCAGATTCTCCTACCTGGGAGGCAGGGGCAGGAGGAGGTTGGCTTCATCCTTCCCTTTACTTTTTAAAACTCGTCTTCAAACCCAGCATCTCATAGCTGTGCAGGCAACCAAACTTTTCAGATTCTTAGTGTCCTTCCCTGTGACATGCAACACTGATGCCTAGGGGAGTGGGTGAGGGATGATGAGAATCCTGCTGGTGTAGAGCAGGGGGCCTGATCCGTGGCAGCTATCAGATGGTTTATTTGTGCTAGCCTCTGTTGGTCTGGGTGAGATTGGACAAGGCTGGACGTTGGGTTGAAATTTCCCATCAGGAATAATACATCAAAACCTTTTATTAAAAACACCTGTTGCATTTTCCGGTAATTGCTCGTTAACCAGCTAGACTGAAAATAACAGGGCTTCTGTGTGCCAGTCGCTGTGCTGAGAGCTTTTCACGTTTCAGCTCATTGTATCCTCACAACTGCCCTGGGAGAAAGAGATTGCTGTGGTGACTATTTAAGAACATAATGGGGAAACCGAGACACAGAGAGGTTAAGGAACTTGCCTAAGCTCACGCAGCCAGCAAGCGTGGAAGGCAGGTTGGGTCCAAGTCCATACGCGTGGCCTCTGTCACCTATAGCAAGCGCTCTGAAGTGTCTTCCTCACCCGTCTCTTCACCCACAGGATGCTGGTCACTGGAAGGCCTTCGGTGCACATGTGAGTGAGCCCCACTTTCCTCCTTTCTTCAACTTCCTCCATCCACATTTCCCTTTGAAATCTCCCTACTCTTTACTTTCTTGGTCCATTTCTGTAACTTAAGTGAGAAAACAAATTCAGGACACTCTTGCTACCCTTTGTTCAAACAAATAAATTTGATCTTATCCATGGAAGTGAGCACCACCCACCTTAAACAGTCACTCCCGGGACGTCACCACCCCCTGGCACATTTCGGATGGCTTCTTTAGGAGCCAGCTGTAGGGACAGCCCGCCAGTAGTCTAGGAAGCATTCCGTGACTTTGTATCACCCCCTGCACAGCACCCGCAACACCCCAGGGATTCTCCCAGGTGTGTGTTTACCAACTGGAAGTGCTTTGCCTGGCATGTCATCAGTGTCAGTAAGTATGCAGAAATGATGTACTTAAAAATTCCTGTTCCCTAAATGGCTGTCACGGCCTGGGAGGCAGAGGGGGACACTGCATTTGGGCTGCTGAGCAAAGCACCACAGACTAGGTGGTTTAAAGAAGAGGAATTCATTTCTCCAAGCTCGGGAAGCCCAAGGCTGAGACCAAGGTGTCGGCAGGCCTGGGTTCCTGGGGTCCTGCTCTGCAGTGTGTAGATGGCTGTCTTCTCCCTCTGTGCGTGTCACTGTCTCAATCTCCCCTTCTTATAAGGACCAGTCGTGTTAGAACTGGACCCAGCCAGTGACCTCATTGTACCGTAATTACCTTTTTAAGGGCCCTATTTCTAAATACAGTGACATTTTGAGCCACTGGGGGTTAAGACTTCAACAGATGACTTCTGAAGGAGACAGTTCAGCTCCTAAGAGGCACTGACCGAAGCTTCGGCTGTCCTCAGCTTTGCAACAAAGGACTCCGTGACCTTGGACACGACCCACCTTGATGGGTTTCAGTTTCCTTATCACCAACATGGGTAGTCAGACTAGACCACCCTGGGTATTTACAACTTCAAAGCTTTATGATAACCTATAAAAGCATCATGTTAGAATGAAATATGGCTTCTGGGACACAGGCAATACAAGGGCTTTTGGCATTCAAGGCTGCCGACCCACAGTGTGGTCTGAAGTTTCTCAGTATTTGACAACAGGCTTTATTATCTCTTCAACTTGGTCAGGCCAACCATTTCTCCTGGGTTCTGAAGGTAACAGCAACACTGTTTTCCTGGAAACATCCTCAGTGAAATATTATTTGATTTTTTTCAGTCTTGAGTTCCCAGGTGGAAGCTCCTACACATGCCCTAAAGGAAGGAAGGTGTCTGGTGCTTTCTAAGCGGACCAAGGGCACTTTCTTTTCCAGGTAATTCTGTCTATACAGGCTGTTAAGGGGCAAAGCCAGACTAAACAACTAGGGGATGAGAAAGAGTCAGCAAGGACATCACAACCCTTCTCATTGTGGGCATGGAGGCAGACCCACTCAGTTTCAGGACAGCTCTGCTCAGCTTGGAGCCCACCTGCAACTTTCAGGATCCCTAGAGTCAGCTGGGGTGGGCAGCGCTTTAAAAACAAGCCTGGAATAGCTTGCAGCCCATTCTTACCTGAGCAGTGACGCGGCAGACTCTCGCACCCCAGCGTCTGTCCTGCTTCACGGGGCAGTGGTTGTGCTGCCCCAGCCAGTCCCTCTAACTGGGCAGTGGGGACGGTGGGGAAGAGGAGCTGGTGCTGGGTGGTCTCTGAGCAGGACCAGATTCTCCTACCTGGGAGGCAGGGGCAGGAGGAGGTTGGCTTCATCCTTCCCTTTACTTTTTAAAACTCGTCTTCAAACCCAGCATCTCATAGCTGTGCAGGCAACCAAACTTTTCAGATTCTTAGTGTCCTTCCCTGTGACATGCAACACTGATGCCTAGGGGGGTGGGTGAGGGATGATGAGAATCCTGCTGGTGTAGAGCAGGGGGCCTGATCCGTGGCAGCTATCAGATGGTTTATTTGTGCTAGCCTCTGTTGGTCTGGGTGAGATTGGACAAGGCTGGACGTTGGGTTGAAATTTCCCATCAGGAATAATACGTGCAGCCACTTTTCCATTCAGTGCAGCTGTCTGTGCAGTCAACACGGGTCCAGACATTAGAGGCACACGGCACATGCTCCCATTCTTTCTCTGGTCCTTTGCATCTCACTGGAGATCCGTGGGATCTCCTTTCCCATGAGGGATTCACTGGGCAGAGGGACATGAGCCCGTCTAGGGTCATAAGGCTACAGGAGGATGCATGAGGCCCTGGCCTGCTTCTCCTACTGCTGATCCTGCAGTCCG